GTCCCAAATCCTCCCCCCCTTTTTTCAGCTGTCCGTTATTTGTCTTTTCCCTCCTACCCCTCCTACCCCTCCTACCCCTGCTACCCCTCCTACCCCTCCTACCCCTCCTACCCCTCCTACCCCACCTGCCGCCCCATTTTCCTGTTCCACCCTACCTCATTCATCACAATCGCCATCGCCATCGCCATCGCCACCACGCCGCCTCACCCCCCTCCCTCCTTGTAAGGTGATGTGGGTGGAGCAGCTGCCTCCGGGTCTGGCTCGAGATCACCGGCGGAGAGCGGTCGAGTCCTTTCGGAGACATCTCTTCGCGCAGGGTGCGTGTGCATGTGTGTGCGCGTATGTATGTATATGTATCATGTATGTATATGTATGTATGTATGTATGTATGTATGTATGTATGTATGTATGTATGTATGTATGTATGTATGTATGTATGTATGTATGTATGTATGTATGTATGTATGTATGTATGTATGTATGTATGTGTTTTCAGGTATGAATGTATGTGTGCGCGTATACATAGACATGCGTGGCCTCCGACAGCATTGCCCCTCGGTTGGGTCAGATTCACCCCCCAGTCGCCGCCACTACCACCCTGACGCCCCAACCACCCCTCTCATCCCCCTCCCCTTTTTTTCTCTCTCGCACATGCATACACACACACGCGTACACACATACACACACATACACACACATACACACACATACACACATACACACACATACACACACATACACACACATACACACACATACGCACACATACACACACATACACACACATACACACACATACACACACATACACACACATACACACACATACACACACATACACACACATACACACACATACACACATACACACACATACACGCACATACACACACAGACACACACAGACACACATACACACACATACACGCACATACACACACATACACACACATACACACACATACACACACATACACACATGCTCCCCTGGGCGCCCTGCTCCTCCCAGACACCCTCCTCGTCTAGTGCCGCTTCCCGTCCATATCCGTGCTTATTTCACCCGACCTCTCTCCCCCCCGTTTCACACATACCTTCCCCCCTCCACACACACATACACGTTCTAATGCCCCGAAAAGGCTCCAACGCGGCCTCCGTGAAGATCTCTCTCGCCAAGCTGCTGGCGGGGGCCTCAGACCTGGTGGCTGACGCGGCAGGGCGACCCATAGACTTCGGGTCCGTGCCGCTGGCCCCGGGGGATGGAGACACCACCACCACCACCACAGCTACCACCACCACCACCGCCGCTACCGCTGCCACAGGCGCTGTGGCGGTCGGCAGTGGCACGGCGGTAGCTGCCGCCGGCGCCGCTGGCGGTGGTGGTGGCGTGGTGGTGGTGGCGGGATTGTCTTCGGATGGCCACCTGACTTACGAGCAGCTTTCTGGTGTGCTCGAGAGTCTGTTGGTGGATAAGGGGTACTACAGCGGCGGCGGCGGCGGCATGGTGGTGGTGACGGAGGCGGAGCTTCTTGATCAGTTGCCGCTGCCTAATTTTAACGTGACGGCGCATGTGGGGGCGCATGTAGCGGCATTTGCGGCGGACAGGGCAGGCGGGGGGGAGGCAGGCGGTGGCTGTGGGGGAGGGGGAGGGGGCAATGTGAGTGGAGGACCCACGGGTCGCGGCGGCGGCTATGTGGGTTTGCCGCCTCTCGGCCGGAATCGATAGCGGTCCTCACATCGATCTAGGGTGTGGTGGTAGTGGTGTTTAGTGCGTGTGTGTATGTGTTGGGGGAGGGGAGGGGGAAGCAGCGGGGAAATGCGAACAAGATGTGTCATGACTGGGGGGTTGGGTGGGGNGGTGGGGAGAGGCGGACTTAGGGGACTTACCTTATGATGTGGATACTTAGGGATATTGCAGATGATGTATAGTACGGCATGATGATTTGAAGAAACCTGGTTGGGGTCTGGTGGTGGTGCTTCAAGGTCTTGGTCGTTTTAAGGGGTGCACATATATATTATAAATGTTCGGCATGATGTCTTCGGCTAGATTGGCTGTATGTATCATGCTGGGAAGTGATGCCTAATTAGGATTCTGCCGGGATGGGCAACCGGATAGACATGTGGACGGGAGTAGAAAAACAGAACAGCAACAGCAGTAGCAGTAGAGGTCAGCAGTGGTCAGCAGTAGCAGACGGTGGCGTGGCAGATGAGAGCACCGCACCGAATGGTGCGTGTACGTATGTCTGTATGCAAGTTACAAGTTACAAGTTTCACACAAGCACTTGTGCGGTGTCCGTAAAAGCCGGGGGAAGGGCCATGGACGGTAAATCATCTTTTGTGCGGTTACATGGTGGACCATCATCGTTCTCCCTCGTCCGCTTCAAGGGGTGACGCGCCTTAGAGCAACGTGCCGGGTCTCCTAGACTTCCGAGAGGAACCTGGCTAGTGCCAGGGGTGGGGCCTCGGTCATAATCATCGTGCGCATGTCGCGCCGCCCTCGGAAACGCGAGGTCACGTTCATACTTAGCCTGTGTTCTTGCGTACGCCGGGCATTCCACAAAAACATGCATCTCCTCTGCAACCGCCCCACAGTCACAAAGCCTGCAGGTGCGCGCTGTGCGCTCACGGCCGTTAGGTCGGTTAATCTCTAACTCCCAACAGCCTAACCAGAAACGTATAAGCACCTGATGCAAACGTTGGAGCATGGCGGTTTCAGCGTGGGCCAGCCACTTATGCCGTATGCATGTTGTTACAGGGTGGTATAGCTTCACCAGCGGCCCCCTTTCCCAAGGCAGTTCCCTGCTCTCCCCTGCGAGAGGGGCACCCTAATCCATTCACCCCATCCGACTTCAGAATGTATTCGTTGGTTTCAGCAACTCACCACCAGCATCCAACCAAATCTAGCGGTTAAACGGCGCCTCAACTTAGTTCCTGGTCAGGTCGCAAATTGTTATAATCACGTCCAACACCGTCCACAATATGGGGGTCCATTTCCCAATTCATCACCCCTCACACACCAAGGAGTCGGCAAGCGGATCTGAACACGGACACTCCGAAGTTAGGCCTTAACCTCTGCCGGCCACCTGCCGTATACATGTATGTCTTCTGCACGCCCGCGCGGACACCTGGCCCAGACGAGGTGCCGCCACCCTGGCAAACGAGGACTTCTGGTGTCGGAGGGCCCTCCATTTGCCGACTCCATTGTCGACACTTGAAGTACTTTACGCGCACATGGTCCTCGTGTTGCTGCAGGTATGACGTGTGCTAGTGTGTCGGGAGGAGCTATATCTTGGCAAGCAACGTCCCCACCCCCGGGGGAAGGGGGCTCCGGGGAGTGGGGTTCCGGCCGTGGGGGAAGGGCTTTGCGGTGTGTTGCACCGGCGTGTATGTGTCGCTATCGCACATGCAAGACCGAAGCAAATATTTCTCCCTATAGTAAGCGCATTAATATCATTACTATTTGAACTACTGTGTTCTTTGTGGCTTGAAGGAATGCTATACCGTTGACATGACAAACTCGACTTTGTTCGGGTCGAGTTTCTTCACGTTCGCCAACCCTACCAAATTGCTGGTGTTTAAGAGAAAAAGACGGTTGTGCTGGAATTGCGAGCAGCGCGCTGGCAAGAAATCGGTTAGCATCGCTCCAGGGCGGCACCTCGTCTGGGCCAGGTGTCGCGGACGGTATGCATGTCTTATTGTCTGTATGTACGTAAAACTACGGAAGGCAGAAGGCGAAAAAGCAAGAGCAGGGGGTGTAAGGTGGTGATAAATACAAACACACATACAGACATACTGACATCGGACATTTCTAAGTCAGACATCGGAGGATAAAGTTATGTTTTGACCTAACTGCCCCTATGATGCCTTTTTTAAAGGCATCGTACGGGATCAAGCGGGGACGCGGACCCACATTGGTGGTGTTACGAAGAGTGAGACAGCAGTAAGAATACGGGAGAGCTGCAAGGTTATATATGCTTTATATACTATACGCACTGTACGGCTATAGGTGCGTGTCAAGCAAGGCTGCCCGTAATGCATCAAAATTTCTTTGTCGGTCAGTGCGGCTGGAGCGGTGTGTGTAGGTGCAGCAGCAGCAGCAGCAGCAACAGCCGGCTACCGTCAACACCCTGTCAACAACAACAGCAACAAACAGTGACAATGGGAGAGATGTTACATGACGGAGCCGGAATCCAAGAACTGAGATCTCATAGATGTATTTGAAAGGAGGCCTTCCCCGTCGGGTTGCACGGCGTCATCACATGGCGCACTAACTGCTATTGTATCCTGTGTCCACCACCACGCACCCTTACATTGCACGAGCACGAGCACGAGCCCCCCAAATAATTGTATTGTATTGTGGTTACAGTATTTCCGCCGCCGACGCGGCGGGTGCCCTCACGAGCCGTGAGGCTCCAGAGCACGCTGTTGACGCTCATCAAAAACCTCAGTAAGGAAAGTAGCGATTTTCCTCGGATTGGTATTAAGAAATACCTTGCGCATATCAGTATCTTCAACGTTAATCAGAAACCTATTACGCAACTCAGTATACGCCTCACACTCCATGAGCACATGGTATTCATCCTCAACCTTACCCGACGTACAGACCTGACACGTACGGCACTCTCTCGGCCTATGGTGTCCTTTGTTGACCTCCAAAGGCCAACAACAAAGACGGAATTTGGCAACCATACGCAACTGGTTGGCCGGCAAATAAACACGCAAATAGCCTGTGGGATCGGAGCCCTCTCTTGCTGGTGAAGGGGAGCCCATCCAGTTATGATACCTGCAAAGCGAAACCCCTTTACCTTGGAACACACGCGGATCACCCCCTTGGCTGAACTGATCCCAGTCACTTAAAAGGAACGCAGATAACCTCTCCAGAACCTCACCCACTCGAATCAACTGAGACGAGTATACATCTACCTTCTGAGAAACGGAGTCACACGCCGGCCACTCATGGCCCAACCAACGCAAAATGATGAGCACTTTAGACGACCAGCAATCCACTTTGAGATCAGACAGAAGAGCCAGACGGAGATCATCTACTAACACGTCATGATAGACCGACCCACGGGACTTGACTATCTTATTCCAGAAACACAACGCAAGGCGTAACCAAAAGTACTGCAAAGGCAACTGAGACAGCTCCCTGTACAACAGCTTGTAAGGTACCTGCTTGAGCCCAGCACAACGTAAACAGAAGTCACGCTGGACCTGGACCATACCATCTTCCAAAGCCAAATCAAAATATGACTTACCAGCGGGTAAAACACCTTTACCTAGCCGCAGGACGGAGACAATCCTATCAGGACCCCAGACCTCAGCACCATAACAGAGAACCGAACGGACCTGGGTGTCGAACGCTTGAAGCCGAACGGCAGGAGCCCACACCCTGTTCTCATCCAACCGATTACTAAGACCGAACATAGCCCGTCGCCCTGCTTCCAAAAGTTCGTTGACACAACTCGCAAACGGGGACGCAAATTAACGTACAAGGGGGGATCATTATCGCGCCATGCAGCAGTACAGCAGTTAACATACTCCGCATTCGTTGCTACAGACAGACAGACAGACAGAAAGTGTGATCAGCGTTACGGACGGATACGGGCACCATGCCCGTATAATTCCTCTAGTATACATGGTATCTCAAAGTTGTGAAGGCGATGGTGGGTAACAAATTCGGCAAGCCAAGAACCAAACGAATCGAGTGCCGCCAATCGTTTGGTACCTTCAGTTCATTACTTCACGTTTTTTGCATTCGAAACACGTATTCCGCCTATTGCGCGCGTACACTTGGCAGCAAGCGAAGCCCGTATGTGGGGGCATGTGTGGGCACAAGCCGCACGTGCGCGTGCGTGCGATTACTTGATGTGATACACGTATCTGCAGCACTCCTCCGCAGCAGGCGATCACGACAGCACTCCTAAAAAAAGAATCAAGGGTAAGATTAGTCATGTGCGTGTGGCAATAAACACGGCTAAGCGCTCATATGCGATTTATGGGATGCACTCATGCAGGCGTGGGTCACAGTTCCCAGGGAAAGGGAAAGGGGGAGAGGGCTGCACGCACCTTGCCAGAGGCATTCGTGCATACTAAAGCCGCTGCACGGCATGTTGCACCCCCGCACAGGCATAGTTGAGGTACTGAGGCACTCCCATGCGTGCATGGCCACCGAGAACGACAATGATGTGGCCACAGAAGGGGGGAGGTAACCGCGGATCCGCCTGACAGCATTCGTTCCGCTGTATACAGCTATCCCCACAAACACACACGGCCATGCGTACGGCACCCAAGTAAAAGGCCGAGTTGCAGACCATCGGGGAATACCCACCGAAAAACGCGGTTGAAATTAATTATTAGGTATGTCCAACAGATATACATCAGGCTTATCAGTATCGGGGGGTCCCCGTAATACTAGTATAGTATTGGAATAATGCAACCCACTGCCGTACATCCATCAATACACACCTCATGACATGGTCCACAACTGTCAGCTCATAACTGCCTTTGGCCCCACCCCCACCCCCACCCCCACTACGATTGGCATGCACCACATCGGTATCCCGCAATAATGGCAGTCGCCTCCTGTCCTACCGGGTTGCCAGCAGCAGCAGCAGCAGCAGCAGCAGCCTAACCGTACCTCTTCTAGCGGTCCCCCCGCACGGTGTAAGCACGGAACCTGGATTGACGGCTCGCAGCCACATAGCTGCTACATTTTGTCGTCGTATGGCCGTACGGGGGTTGCTGATATAGCCAACGACCAACCGCCTGGCGGCGACCAAACCGTCGAACTCCAGCATCTCAGAGGTGCATGTTGACCTCCCCCCCCGGCTGCCCCCAGATCCGCTGCTCCCGGGAATTTTCACCACCACACATTATACCTAGTTATATCATATACGTGGGCAGGGGGACATGCCGTACCCGGTGGTTCCCCCCCCCATGCCCCGCGGCTCGAAACCCATCAACTTACCCCCCCCCGCCCCCCCCCTCCTCCAAACGACGCTCATTACCGAATGTTCTCATCGCAGCGCCCCCCCCCCTTGGTGGTGGTGATGGCGATGGCGATGGCGGAGAGGTAGGGGTAGCCCTGCGCCCTCTTTCCGTGTGGCTATTCTTCTCCCACCAAACCGTCACAACATAACGAGCACCGCTGCATCCACACACACCCAGGCTTAAGTACGTGCCAGGCAAACGTCCAATCCATCCGCCCCATCTTCCTTCTGAGTGCGCCTCCATTTCGCCCACCCTCGTTGGATAAGTGCCGCGGGCGCTCCAAAACCACAGCGCGCAGCCTTTTTGCTACTCACATTGCTTTTCCAACCCCCCAAATTCCCAGTTAGCCCGGCAGTCGCACGGCAGTGCAGGCACACGACAGTCTCAAACACTACACATATCGGGCCCTTCCTTGAAGCGACTCGAGGCGGCGGAAACGATCGAACTACTAGAGGATAAGGCGCAAGGACGCTTTCGGTTTCTCGCCTTCTGAGCTGCCAGATCTGCAGAGATACACGCGGAAGTGAGTGAGTTGGCTGCTGTTGCTGTTGGTGGTGGTGGTGCTGCTGCTGTTGTTGGGGTGTTACACTGTGGGGGGCGGCTCGTCCCGAGAAAGGACGAGAGCACCGGGGGCCGAAACACAGCGCAAGGGGGGGGCGCGCGGCTCTACGTCCGTCTGTTCCTCCGCGCGCGATTCACTTCCCCACTGCTTTTGTTGCTGTTGTTGGTGCTGCTGTTGCTGCTGTTGTTGCTGCTGCTGCGCGTGCTGCTGCGGCTGCTGCTGCTACTGCTGCTGCTGTTGGTGCTGCTGTTGGTGCTGCTGGGGCGTGTTGAGGCGGCGGCCTGACCATGCGCCGGAATTTATACTCCCAATCAAACGCCGCCTTAATGAGCTCCTGTTCCGCCTTCTCCTTGGCCAACAGCTGGGCCCTGGCCGCCTCAATATCCTGCTCCAGCTTCGACCGTACAGCCCTCTCAAGATCCAATTGCTCCCTCAATTTCTGCTCTTTTGCCCGCTGGGATTCGTCCAGGATTGGCCACTGCTCCTCCTCCTCCTGGTAGCGCTTCTGTAAGGATTCTTTTTCGTTCTCCTGCCGCGTCCTCGTCCTCTCTAGCTGCTTGATTCGCCTATCCTTGGCCCGGAGCAACCGCCGCATGTTCTCCAAGTCCTCCCGGACTTTTGGTGTCAGATCCGCCAGCGAACCGCCCTCCTCGTCGCCCATCTTCCCCGTCCCCTGATCCTCACGTTTCCCAGTTCTCCTCGGCGCCGCACCGGTACCAGCACCAGCAGCACCGGTACCAGCACCAGCAGCACCGGTACCAGCACCAGCAGCACCGGTACCAGCACCAGCAGCACCGGTACCAGAAGCAGCACCAGTACCAGCAGCAGCACCGGCAGCACCAGAAGCAGGCTTAGGGGGCTGTTGGCTTCTCGAAGGGTCTGCTGATGTCGGTGCAGGTGCGGCGCTGTTTCCTCTTAGCGGGGCAGCGACACCAGGAACCGTGTTGCGGTCCACCGGTGAGTCCCGAAAGACCGACTTGGCGTTCTTGATTTCTGCAGCCGGAGCTACCGGTGGGCACTTCGCGGCTGCCCTCACCTCCGGAGCCGTCTCCCGGACCGGCGACTTGTTCTCGTGCTGTTGCTGTTGCTGTTGCTGTTGTTGCTGTTGCTGCTGTTGTTGCTGGTACTGCTGCTGGTACTGCTGCTGGTACTGCTGCTGGTACTGCTGGTACTGCTGGTGCTTTCCGGTAAGATTCAAAAAGTCCTTGACCCACATCCACGCACCTAATTGTGGCTGTGGCTGTGGCTGCGGCTGTGGCTGCGGCTGCTGCGGGGTTGGTCGCTTCAATTGGGGTTGTTGGTCCTCAGAGGCGGCGTCGGCTCCTTCCCGCGCTCTCTTCCTGGTCGCGTCTGAAGACTGCGCGGACGCCTCGGACCGCGGTGGCGGTGGCGATAGCGGTGGCGGCGGCGGCTGAGGCTCCGAAGCTACATGCTGCTGATCCGCGGCGGCGCGAGTTGCCTTCATTGTTGGGGTTTCCGTTGCGGTTGCCGTTGCGGTTGCGGTTGCGGTTGCCGTTGCCGTTGCTGTTTGCGAACCTGAATGCGCCATGATGCGATGTGGGCCATGGCGTCCAAGGACGGGCCGGTTGTGGGTTCGGATTTAGGGTTTTGCTTTTTGGGGCACTACTGGCGGATGCCGCCAACCGGGGGGAGAGCAGTCAATGGCAGTCAATGGATGCAATCCGTCATTTTCCCCCCGATGACGGCGGTGGCGGTGTCGTGGTGGTGAAGGGGGCGGGGGTTGTCGCTTGGGAGCAGTGCTGCAGGGCCAGCTGCTGCTGTTGCTGATACTTTCAATCGCTACTAATAACGGGCCAGGTAAAGACCAAGTAGGTTGTGGGTAGGTAAGAGCGGTGATGATGAAACCCTAAGTACATATGGCGTGTGAGGTACGGATGCAAACGTAAGGGATATGTACGGCGTCTCTGAATGCATGCCCGGTCTGTACGGGCACCCAGTTCCGGTGTAAAGGTACTCACCGTGCTGAAGTGCGTCCATGTTACCGACTCCGTTAACAAAGGGAGCATCGGCCAGTTTCTTGCACTGTTGTTGCTCCTGCTGCTGCTGCTGCAATAGCTTCTGCTTCTGCTGCTGCTGCTGCTGTTGCAATAGCCTCTGCGTCTGCTGCTGCTGCTGCAACAGCTTCTGCGTCTGCTGCCGCTGTTGTAGGAGGTAGTACTGATAACCGAGGTCAGGGTTGTAGCCGCTCGTTGGTCGCATCATCCTGCTGCTACTGCTGCTGCTGTAGCTGCTTATGCTGTTTATGTTGATGGGAGGTGGAGTCCACAAGGGCCGCTGGGAAGGCATCATTCCAACGGTCCTGCGGACATGAAGCCATGTGGGACACATGAGCAGCAATCAGGGAGAGCAATCCATGATAAACTTGGAAAAGAAGACGCTCTCTTCAAAACGGTGCGTGGTATAATGGAAGACGACCACATGCATCTGTGGCACCTGCGACGTCTGTTTTCTTTACATGCGCTTGTTTTCAGCACATAGATTATCAGGGATATAGACAGCAGCTCTAATTGGGAGTCGAGAGCCCTGGGTTTGTCGTCCGCGCGGCGGTAAAACCGGTCTGCAGCATGACGGCCACTTGGCGTTATAACAGTGGAAACAAAGCCCACCTGCAAAGGTCGGAACCTGCATAGGCCGAGTACTTGGATCCGTCCATGGCGGTGTGAGGATTGAAACTGTGTTGCTAACCTCTGTCCTGTTGCTAACCGAGCAACAAATATGACGACTGGAAGACGATTGGAAAGAGCAAACGCTGATGAATTGATATCTATTTGAATATCAATTTTGTTTATTGTTTAGTTGCATCCACAGCTTTAAGCAAAACATTATGTACCATATTCTGTTCCCTCCGCCGCCTGCGACAGTAGCGCAGGTCAGCTGGGCCCATCATGGGTTTTCATAAGTTTTCGTCCGGTTTTCGCTTCAGCAGGTTTATCTCCACCAAGTTTTCGAAACAGATTTTCTTTGTGAAAGATGGTTTACTCAGCAGTCAGACTTGCAAGCGCACGGCAAAACTGAGCGATGCCTCTGGCATACATTTACTAATATGACAAAGGCACGATTAATTAGTCTCAATAATCATCTCAGCTATGCATATTGTAACTGCCAAGGCTTGCCGAGCTTGTCGGGTTGCGCACAGTTTGGCAACAGCCTTGCGAGGTAGTTGATGCACAAGGCACAGACATTTTCCTGGAGTCCTCAAATGTGACATTCCGCGTTATTATATGTTGATTCAGTAGCGGCAGGCACCTCAAGGCAGGAAAAAGGCTGCACTGTGTGCTACGGTGGACTCGGACATCATTCCCAACATATGCCATTGCCGGCGACGCACCCACTGCCAACAAACAAAGCTTTTATTCATCGACATTGGATGTGCTATATATCTTATCAAGTCTTTGGCGGTTTCCGTAGCCGTGAGCGCTCATATTCACGCATGGACCTCTCCATCTAGGAGCACTGTCACGGATTGGCCATGGACATGGCTGCACAGGATCGCCAGGGACGCGGATGAGATTGTGGGGGGTACTTAACGTGGTTACCCCATTAATGCTGAGCCGGTCGCTCTTCTACCGGCAGCTTTCGCCTGCGAGTGCTGGGGGAGAAAGTAATCCGTAGACGCAGGGCCAAAAAATGTTCCAGGATAAATATGATTCTTCCAATCAAAACATTTAACTCCACTCCGTTTGACAGCACATTTGGCTGGGCCTCCGCGCCTCGCCGGCCGCTGGCCAACAAGGCTTTGCGATATTCAACGTGTTAGATGTTTCAAACCTTAAGAAATTTCTCACATGTTACCTTATGCTTTGCTGTTTTGGAAGGTTAAAGGTATTTGAGGTGCCGTCTCAGCGGTGCTGCGGCTCGGGCGCCGTATCGAGCTAGTTCAATCAGGTTCAATCGTCCCGCAGCGTAAGCGATACTATATGCTAGCTGCGGTTATAAGAGCTCAGCTTATGCATAAAGATTTATTTTAATTTTTTACAAGAAATTTAATTGCACCGCATCCTCGGGACGAGGCTCGTGTGCGGGCTAATGAATGCTCAGGGCAATGTCGAACATCCAACTCAAGACTGGTCCGCGGCAACGCAATCCCCCCACTTAACATAGTTGATCGGAGATTGCGCTGCGGGAAGCGAATACCGCTTTATGCTATATTCTCGTGCTAGACGTCAAGTGGTCCTCTGGAACCTGGTTCTGGAGCGGGCAAGTTTGGGGCTTCCAAGGCCGGCCTTCTGAGTTTTTAAGTTACTTCATCGTTTTAGCATACCGTTAGACAGCTTAGCCTGCTGCCTTTGTGGCCGACGAAGCTCATGCTCATGGAAGCCTTGCTTGCTAAGGCTGTAAGGCAGGGAGGGCCCGGGTGGGCAGGGCCAGGTCCGTGGCACACCCCACCTCCGCGCATTGCGAATTTACACATCTGACAATTTGCTGGTGTATAAGAGCACATATGCAGAACGCCTCACTAAAAACCGAGTCCCCTAAGGGGTTGTTTCCACTTAGGATTATCGTCACGGATTAGGGCTTAATCCGTGGCATATGGAAACTGGGATAAGCGACCATTGTATGAGCGCCTGTGTAGTTAGATTACTGCACTGTAAAATGCGATCGTCCCTCCTACTATATAGGCACAGATTGGGTGGAAAAAGGTTTGCTGCTCGGTGGATTACCGCGTTATACACCGTCTCATCAAAAAACGGATTGATAGCTTGAATTGTTGCCTTTTGATAAATCCTGTAAGTGTTCCTCATTTTGTGAGAAGTTTTGCGCTTCTTGTTCGGCATTATGCTGCATAATGCCGAATCAATCGGTGGGCACTGCCACCGTGGGTGCTGCACCACACCGTGGGTGTCGTTCAAAGGCGATGCAAGGCCCGCATGTTGATACGCAATAGTCTTTTAAATGTCCAGCAGTACTCATTTTGCGTTTCATGCACGGAATGGCAGTTGTTGTACTGCAATCCGTTCCTTAATCCAGAACCTCCTGTGAATTTGCGAAGGATTGGTGCGCGGATTTGAACACCTTAAATCCGCGGTATAAATCCTAAGTGGAAACATCCCCTAAGTGTGCAGGCATTCCCACAGGGGACTTCCCGGGAATAAAAAACTCACTCCTACCGCGCTGTGGCCCCAGAAGCTGCCCTAGGAAGCGTGTGTCCCGTCCCGGCCTCGTCGCTTCAGTGTGTCGGACTCTGCCACGAAGCCCCGCTCTGTGGGGCGCCGCTGCACCAGTTCGGGAGGCTGGACCTGATGCACACATCGCCACATTCCGGACATGACGCAAGACAGCAGGAAATGTAAAAACTAGGGGGGCGGCAAAGAATGGATTACACGGACTATGCCCGAAAAGGTCATATGCCCGGGGTTCGTCCAGCAGTATGTCATCCCGGAGCGGCGCGCCCGCGTCCTTACATTCAACCGAATTCAACATCCGAGCGCGCACTCCCATATGGGCGTGTACTCCGCAAAAACCGAAATGACGACCCGCGGTTTAAGGCCGTAGAGTGTTAGTATGTCGCTGGCGGTGGGCGCGTTTCCCAACCGGTGTGCATGGGGTCAACAGAAGCCCACCGTTAGCACCGTTAGCCGGTTATCGGTTGTCAGTTATCCACTATCCAGCCGCAAAGAAAGCTGCTAAGTGCTGGATCCAGCTCGGCTGCCAAGAACTGGAGGCTGCGGGATCTTGGTCATGAGCTTCTTCGGCCCGAGTCGCTCTCCCTCTTCGTAGACTCGAACAGGATATTACAGAGGGGGATCCCAAAATACATTCACATTCGCCGTGGGGAGCAGAAGGAAAGCGAATCCTCCAACGGCCTCAGCTGCAATCGCACACGCAGTGCCCCTCAAAGACGTGGCATGTTATCCATCTACATAATCATAATCCGAAGCTGCTATTCCTACATATATTCTTATGTGCTGATTACTATATCTATTTTTTCGACAATAAGCTAAAAACCGCCTGCCCAGCTCATCAGGTCTTCCTGCCCAGTCAGCGAGTTGCGAGCCGCAAGCCGCAACGGATGTTTCCGTACGTACAGCTTGAACGTGCCCGCAGGTTGGCATTACCAGCAGACTACACTGCAGCAAAGGTACCGAAACCAGTCGCAATAATGCGATCTAGGAGTTGAAGGAAAAAACATTTCGACTAACGGAGGGCCATCTCTAGACGACCCGCGCAATGCACACCGAGAGCACACAGGATGATGATTAGGGCCCCCCCCTTAACATCGCCACCTCACGACGAGCCCCAATATATAATATATATATAGAGAGAGGGTGCCATAAAACCCAAGAATCTTCGCAGCGCCCTTCCCGTCACCTACATCACGGGTATCGAACAGGTGTGACTGCAGTCAGTCACCCACCCACATCGTCCATCACGCAATCCACCCCCCTCCCCAGCCGTACATATTCCTAAAGCTGTAGGCGGCCCCGGGCCAATAGAGCCACGAACGGCAAAAAAGGCGCTCCTGCAAAGAAGATCACGGTCTTTGCAGGTATTCAGCTGCAACGCCATTTGGTATTATTAAAATATTTTGCTGGTCGCCCACTACATACGACGGTCGCCACAGCAGCAGCATACCAGTGTCCCGTCCGAGCAAGAAGGTGCAACGCTACTCAGTTCTCCTGCCCCTGCCCCCCTCCTCCACAATGTGACACCACCAGCCACACTTTCAGCCTTGCCAGTCTTTCGCCAGTCTCGTCCGCCACCACTGCAGTCCGTGTCAAAAGAAAACATGTATGGGAGAGAGAGAGAGAGAGTCTTTGCGTCAAAAATCCTAGCGTCAAATTTCAATATCTAAGGGTTTTCGGTCTAAAATAAGTAACATGCAGGCGATGCCGCGCACAACAACCCTCTATATATAACGCAACCCCCAGGTCTCCAAAACAACGGAATAAGCCAATACATGAATAATCAGTCGCGTCACAGCATATAGCATAGTCATGCATAGCATTGCATCGCCCGAATGCTGCGAGAGTGCTTCAGTACCCGCTCCCTTCACAGACACAAGCAAGACAAGACAAGGCACTTATTGGCATACCTCGCCCGAAAAGAGGTGTCACTTGACCGCAGTGGCGTTAGCAGTGAGTTAAGCAAGCAATCCACTTCAACAAAACGGAAAGCTACCGAAAGAAAAACACAAAACGGTTAATGTGAGAGTGGAACGCGATGTACAACACACATCACACCGAACGATAAAGCAGCGCAGGAAGGCGTGCTGCTGCGCCTTCCCGGCAACAACATGTGTATGGTACTAAGAAGTAAGCGCAAGGAAAACAAAGCCTAAGAGAACCAAGCATAACAAATAACTTAACACACACAAAGCTACTACTTTGTCCAGGTTGACAACCGAGGTTGATGATACTCATTTGAAAAGCTACTGATGCTGTTGTTGCTGCTGTTGTTGCTGCTGCCAAGCTTATACCTTGGTTGCTCGAGCATACGCTTCAGTTCAGCAACATCGCAAACTGCCATACATAAGTTATCCTTTGATGTTATCCCCTCCCCATATATTCATATTCATGTACCAAGCTCCGCCTCCTCACCAGCACCAACTGGATGTATCTTCTCGCCTCCGCCATGCAGCTTCTGCACTTCTCGAGGTCTGGGAAGCTGCCCTCAGGAGCCACCTGGCCACCCTCCCGGCCCTTAACGGCCCCAACCGCTCTGCCGTACCTCCCTCGCCGCCAACCCCACAAACCCCGTCACCTCCCGGCGGCAGAATGGACAAAGCAGCGGTCGCGGCGGCTTGCTGCTGCTCGGCCCCAGCGCCATACGGCACATCCGCTCCGCACACCGCCCGCACAGCCCGTGACCGCATCCCGCCGGGGCCACGGCCTCCCGCTCAACAAAACACACACCACAAAACACTTCCTCAGACTCCTCCTCCTCCTCCGCTACAGCCTCCTCAAATGTTCTCCTTTCTCCACCACCTTCCCTCATGCTGGAGCCACCAACCACAACCGTGCCCAGCTGCATTTGGGAGTTACGGTCGTTGCTATTGGTGACGGGCGCGGGGTCCGAAGGGGAGGCGGCAACGGCAGTCCACAAAACTGCCGTCGGCACCTGTGACGGACCTGTCGCTGCAGGAATACTTGGTAACTGAGATCCCGCTTCCCTTTCCCCAGGAGTTTCTCCTTCCTGCTGCTGGTGGTGCTGCTGTGGCAGTAGCAGTCGCGGCGGCGACGGTGGCAGCAGCAGTCGCTGTAGCTCGCCCAGAAGCCGGGTCTGCAGCGCCGCAGCCGCAATGGACGCCAAACTGGCAGGTCCCGTGCGAGCGCCCATGCCGCCCCCGAAGGGTGGCAGAAGCGACAGTTGCGAAGGCGAGGAGGGAGAGGCAGCTGACCCGTCGTCGCTCCTTGAAGATGCGAGGCCCAGAACTTCCTCGACAGGTAGGCCGGGGTGCAGGAGCGTCACCAGCTCCCGCTGTGTGGGGTGGTGATGGGCCGCAATCTGCGCGGGGTCGAGAACGGGGCCGAAGAGGAAATGAGTATATTTGGAACGAGGGTAAGCCGGGTAACTAGGGTGGCAGGCAAGCAGTAACCCGGGACAGGGACGGTGGACAGCATCAGCAGCATCCGCAGCCTCCGCAGCATCCGCAGCAAAGGAGCAACACTGCCGGCAGCATAAATTTAATGGGGCTGGGTGGTGGGGCGCACTGCGCAGCTTTCACGACTGCACTGCACACAGGTATAGTCACGTCGCGGCGGCCACCCGTTTCACTGCCTCGCGCGCAATACGCCGCTAGCAACAGCTGCAAAATCACACATCAGGCTGTGTCATGACATTGGATCCAAAGATAGAACGCTGTGGGAGTGCACGCAATAGACAAGGCTCCGTGGCATTGACACCGTGATCCCGCGCTGACGAGACTGCGTTGATCCACTCCACTCCACTCCGCAACGTCACGCCCCCGTCCCCAGCCCCATTCCCCCCGTGCACCCCACCAGCCCAGAACGTGCTGCTGGTACTGGTACTGGTGCTGGTACTGCTGCTGCTGCTGGTACTGGTGCTGGTCCTGGTGCTGCTGCTGCTGCTGGTACTGGTACTGGTACTGGTACTGCTGCTGCTGCTGGTACTGCTGGTACTGGTGCTGCTGCTACTGGTACTGGTACTGGTACTGGTACTGCTGCTGCTGCTGCTGGTACTGGTGCTGGTACTGCTGCTGCTGCTGGTACTGGTGCTGGTACTGCTGCTGCTGGTACTGCTGGTACTGGTGCTGCTGCTACTGGTACTGGTACTGGTACTGCTGCTGCTGCTGGTACTGGTGCTGGTACTGCTGCTGCTGCTGCTGATGGTACTGGTGCTGGTACTGCTGCTGCTGCTGGTACTGGTGCTGGTACTGCTGCTGCTGCTGGTACTGGTGCTGGTACTGGTGCTGCTGCTGCTGGTACTGGTACTGGTACTGGTACTGCTGCTGCTGCTGCTGGTACTGGTGCTGGTACTGCTGCTGCTGGTACTGCTGGTACTGGTGCTGCTGCTACTGGTACTGGTACTGCTGCTGCTGCTGGTACTGGTGCTGGTACTGGTGCTGCTGCTGGTACTGGTACTGGTGCTGCTGCAGCTGGTACTGCTGGTACTGGTGCTGCTGCAGCTGGTACTGCTGGTACTGGTGCTGCTGCTGCTGGTACTGGTACTGGTACTGGTACTGCTGCTGGCTAACAAACACCAAGCCCCAACCCCCCTCACATCCATACCACTACAACCCTCACAGCACCCCCAGTACCACAGCACTCTTACACAGCCACCCAGCCACCCAGCTAGCCAGCCAGCCACCCACCCAGGCAGCCAGCCAGCACCCCGCCCACCCACCTGCCAGGGAAACTGGTGACCGTAGTTGGCACAACGCCGGGGATCCCGCGTCCTGGCAGCGTTTCGTGACGAGGAGGATCTCACGCGCTGGACCTGCGTTTGCGTTTGCGTTTGCGCGGTTAGTGATACGGTTGGCAACACTCCGCGTTGCACGGCCCGGATTTTGGATGTAGAATACGGTACGGGTGTAGGTTACAATGAGACTCTCTGGGTTGAGACTAAGACGGGTGAGTGGTGGCTGGGTGTGTGTGTGGGTGTGTCGGTGGGTGTGTGGGTGCGGAGGGCCCTCCGCTTCTTAACACACAGCGGTACTGCAGGGGCTACCAGGTAGAGGGGCGCCCCTCCGCGTCTCCCCGCCGCTTGACTCCGACCCGGAAGTTGCTCATCCTGGCTCCGAGCGCCCAAACAACACCGCCACCGATACCGTCCCCTCCCTCCCTCCTCCGCCCCCTCTGCTCACCCGCCCCACCTGAAGGCCCCGTGGCCCCAGGCCTCCTCTATACACACTTACATGGTACATCAGCAGCTGCCGTACCACCTCCACACTGCCCCTGAAGGCGGCGAAGTGCAGCGGGGTCGACAGCGCATCGCAGGAGACGAAGATGTCATAGCTGTGGCTGCTCGTGGCGGCGTTGATGTGGGGGTCGTGGCGCAGCAGCTCCTCCACCGCGGCGGGGTGGTCGAAGAAGGCGGCATAATGGAGCGCGGAGAGGCCGCAGACACTTCGGACGTCCACATATCTGTGGGTGGGTGCATGCGGGGCGGGTGTGAGGTGCCGTGGATGATGGGTCGGGAAGGGGGGCCTCGTATGAATCACCGGTGGCAGTGCCACATCGGCGGGCCACACATCATCGCCATCATCATCGCCATCATCATCATCATCCGACATCATCATCATTAGTCACCATCATTAGTCACCATCATTAGCAGCAGCAGCAGCAGCAGCAGCAGTTCTATCATGGTCATCGTCATCGTGGCGCACCTGACTCCCAGTCGCGCCATATCCCGAACCGCCATGTTCTGCAGGAGCGCCTCTATGCACGGCGCACTGCCAGACATGGCGGCATAGTGCAGCGCCGTGCGGAAGCCGCAACGGTCGCCGGCCCATGGGTCAGCTCCCTACATACATACAGCCACACGTTACGATCGTGGGGGAATAACGCCATTTCACAGTGCAGTCCATGCACATCTAGGCATGCACATCTAGGTATGCGTGGGTGACAAATATGGGTGTAGCATTATTCTACGGACGCAAGACTACTATATGAATTGACATATTGACGAGCTAGTGACGAGGTCGACGGGCCAGCCATGACCCCGATACTAACCACTGTTCACATCCCCCCCGGCCCCTGGCCATCAAGATGTGGTTACTAAGCCACCTACATATCACCTATCCATCTGTATGTCTGTCTGTCAGTCAGTCTGCCTACCTGCGCCATTAGCAGTTTGACCAGCTCGGGACTGCCAGCCGCACACGCGCACATGAGGGGCGTCTGGCCTGCGTGCAGGTATGCATGTACGTATGTATGTATGTGTAAAGGGCCGGCACGGAGTTAGGCAAGCGGACAAGTATCGGGGGGAAAACGACCGTGGGAAGTGCGGGGTACGGCACGGGCGGGAATGGCTGTGCTGCAGCACAGCCCGTACGAGAACCATTCACCTCGTCCGCGACAAAAGAGCTGCCGTCGTACGAGTTAGAAACCGCACCAGAGCCTCTCCCGCCACCAGCTGCACCCCATCCACCCACCCACACGCACCCACCCTTGCAGTTCACCATGCCCACGGCGATGCGCACTCCCTCAGCAACCGAATGGGGCAGCGGCAGGTCGTTACGGCGGCAGTACGGCTGCAGCGCCTCGCGTACGACCGACAGGCTAGCGCCGGACAGGAAGGACAGCATCTGCTGAACCACCTGCGGTGGGGTGGGGTGGCGCCAACCAGTCCGTCAGTCCGTCTGTCAGTCCATCGGCGGGACACCTCCCGCGAGTTCACCCGCAGGCGGAGAGGGGCGACATCCGGCCCCCACGCGCAGGGCCACACCAGCCGCATCATGTCATCCCTTGCGCGCACCTCCACTTGCTTCCGTTCGCAGGCGGTGTGCAACGGCGTGCCGGCAGTGCTGGACAGCACAGCCGTGGTTGCGCTGAGCAGCCATGGACTGGTCTGCAGCTTGGATTGCAGCACATCCGGCCCGTCAACGGTCTTGAGGGACCGATTAAGCTCCGCGACAGCAAAAGTGGATGGACCGCAGCCCATGGTCTCCCGCGCGAGCTTCGGGCGGTGGTGCGGGTCTCGTAAGTGGATGGTTTGCAGTGAGACGCTGTGCCTTGTGTCCCCTGGCAGACATGAGCAATGCCATGGGTGCATGCTTTAACACAAGCATACCGTGAAGGTTTACTATTTAAACCCTGTCGGGTGACGGAAACCAGCGTTGTGTCATGCCGTCCAGGGCAGCAGATGTGCGCCAAGGTAAAAGTTGCAATGCCCAGCGCATGAAGGGTATAAAGCTACACTGCAATCAAACCTGGGACATGTCGTCTTTAAGCTAGCCTGAGCCTCAGTTGCCATCCTGCTAGCCAGCCAAGTAGGCGCTAATCGGATTGAAAGTGCTGGCACCACCAGCACCTAAGGACCAACTCGATCTTTAGCATGTGATGTTCTAGTATGGCATTCAAAGGGGTCCTTGCGGTGCGCCTCAATTCTGTGTACCAATACAAGGGAGTTTGCCCCTGAACTCCTTCTTTACCCAATCGTTATGTTCACAAATCCAAAATGTATCTCCCCATGGCGAGAACACATTATCATGGTTTTGGCTGTAAATACTCCCAAAGCATGACCCATATCTCTTAATTGGCGCCAAGTTTAGCCCCGCACCTTCTTGCCCTTCAGATAACAGCAACCGGCCAAGGGAATATGCCGTCCGACGACCGTTAGTGGTTCCAGTCAGTCCAGCGCACGCGGCCGAACCTTGCGGAAGATGCCTTCAATGGTGGCGGCTTTCACCAAAGCCAATAGATTTGTACCTCACGTTAGAAGTTATAGATGTTCTTAAAGAGGATCAGTTAGTTTGGTGGTTGTGCGGAAGGAATCTTGCCCACTTATTCCCCCAAAATGCACGTACAAATGGTACTGCTACGGCATTTCGTGCCCCCAATCGCCAGTTTCAACGTTTAATATTTGCAGTTTTCTTTATGACATATGCGGCCATGGCCACTTGCATACATGGCTGATTGTTTATCGGGAATGCATTTTCACATTTCTGCCAACGTCACGTCCTACGTAGTATCTATGGGTGCCTTGAAGATCGCTGTTCCCGCTTCCATGTGGAACATGTTGTCGCGCTTCATTCATTCTGAAGCCATATGGCTTTCTTTCGTCCCCGCCGCGGCTCCTGTCTCGCCTTGCTCAGCCATCCGGAAAGAATTAAGCGGTGTAACGGAGCATAAACCATTGCAACTCGAAGCGTATAGGTATTCTAGCATACCGCATGACATGCAAAACACAGCGGCCAGCCGGAACACAGCAAGTCCCTGCACACGAGCTATCGGGGAACCCTTCGTGCATAGAATCAAAGAAAAGGGATACGTAAGGGTAAAAAGTAGCTTTTTGATTTTCAGGATTGCCGCATTGGCATCGCAGGCGCCAAATATCATTGGGTACCCTCTAGCAACAGGACCGCCTCCATTTAAGTGGAGGCAGCAATCCTGCTGATTGCTGCCTCCCCCAACCCCCGCAGCCCCCATGGCGGGAGTGACCCCCATAACCACCTCCAGAGCTACGCTGTGCTTTGGAACCGAAGTCAGCCATGAGGAGGAACCCACCATATGGCTGCACATGCGCTGGGGGTTCACCGCCAGGAAATGCTAATCTAACGGACATGTCTGCTACTGCAGGCGCATACATACATACATACCCTTCGGAATCGGCAGCAATCGCCAGCAGTCTTGTAATCATGGCCCCACGCCCCATGCAGGGACTCCATGCAGGGACTCCATGCAGGGGGAACTCTCCTGGATATAAAATGGCACTGGATGGAGTGAACGACGACGTGCTGTCTTATATAGCTGTATAGGTGTATAGCCCTCATCGTGTCGTGGGTGTGGACTCTGCATGGAGCTGTTTTCTCTCCTAACCCGCATGGTGGGGTAGGAGAGAGGAGGAAGGGGTAGATGGTTGGCACGCCTTGGCGCTTGGCTCCACCCTTGTAGCAAGCTGCCCCCGCGCAACAATTCCCCAAACATGAACTTGGCGCACTTTGGCAATGGTCATTCGCAGAGTGTGACGCAAAGTATGACGCACGGTTCGTTTGGGGCAGTTTGGTACAGTTTGGGTCGCTTGGGACCTTGTTAGAAACTGATACCACACGTTTCAGTACCTGCATCCCGCCGGGCACCGCACATGCTCACGTTGTACTGTACCTGCTACTGTGCCTCCTCGTGGCTACTCGTGGCCGCATTGGAGCACTGGAATGATGGGACCAGGTGCAACGGTGTTGTGCGCAGCACGGACCAAAGACAAGTACGGTGGTAGTTGACTTGACTTCACACACACATACACCGGAAACGGGTTGCGAACCCAAGCTCGGAGCCCATAGGCCTGGCCCTTCGCCTGCATTTAATGGCGTCTTAAGTAATAGAAAGGTATTATTATTTATGGAGTTTTGATGCGTTTCGTGGAAATCTAGAGACCGTGCTGGTAGAGAAAGGAACATGGATCTGACTACATAACGCTTTTCTTGCGTATGACAAATATAACAGTGTTTCTATGTCAGACGCCACCCTTTTGGCGGTACGAATACATAGCAGGCATTAGTAAAGAATCTTTATAAGATTTTAATGCTATACTGACTCAACAGCTTCAACTCAAATGTGTCTATTAGCTTACGTTAAAACGAGCGTGTTAATGTACAGGGATAGCTATCGACCTTTCCTTGTCTGTTGCCTCAATGACGACCGAACAGCCACCTGCCCACAGAGAACGTGAAAAGTTCTGTTGAGCGGACACAAACAGCAACAGTGTGTATCGTTCGGTTTGACTATCTTTGTCAATGTTAATGACACCTATGGATGTGACTGAGCGCTAATTGGCGGCTGCTGCCGCCCTGTAAACGTTTCTTTTTGGGGACTTTAGTACGACTAGCGGTAAGGAAATTTTGCTGAAAGTGGCGGATTTCTTACAGCTGTTCGCTCGAAATAGCTGCGATGACTCGAAGTGCGGAATCCCCCAGCTCCTCCAAAGTGCGAGGCCTTTCCGACATCGTTCGACTCACGTAAAAAGTTTAATTTTAACAAGTCTTTGTTAGGGCTGTGGAATTCTAATCTTTCTTGGCAGCATTTTGGGAGAATTGCCGCTGCGTCAACTTTTGCCTCGGAACACGTCGAGCAACTGTGAGCCCTTTTGGATGCCCACAAGTAATGCCTTGGTGCTTGAATCTTTCCTGATCAACATGTTTACGTTCCAATTATGCTGCATAATAGAAAACGTGCTCCTTGATGCCAGGTCACCTGCTAAGCAACGGGCAATTTCGCGGACATACAAGTATCAACCTCCTGTCCCAACCCGCATCAACCTCAGCCCGTCTGCCATGGGCTGCAGTCCATCTACATTGGCCGTGGCGGCGCTAAATCGTTCTCTCGAGACCGGGGAAGGACCAGACGTGCTGCAATCCAAGCTGCAGACCAGCCCATGGCTGCTCAGCGCAACCACGGCTGTGCTGTCAAGCACTGCCGGCACGCCGTTGCACACCGCCTGCGAACGGAAGCAAGTGGAGGTGCGCGCAAGGGATGACATGATGCGGCTGGTGTGGCCCTGGGCGTCTCCTCAATCTCTTGACCTCCTAGCCGCTTCACACTGTCAAATATTTCCCCCGCGCACATGGCTCCTACAGAAATTCAGACAGACAGACACACACACACACACACACACACACAGAAACTCAGGCACACACACATACATACAACAGTATACAAGGTCAGGCACTACTGGTAACGCACACACCGATGCCCCCGGAGGTTCCGGGATCGAGACCTGTCAGGGTCGGAAAATCCTTCCGATGGTGGAAGGTAAAAGTGCCCCCAATCGATGGACGGTGGTGACCTGGGATAAAGTTGATCTGCGAGCTGACCAGGAATGGAGTTGAGCCGCCGTTGATCCGGCAGATTCCGTTGGATGTCCCACATGTGGGGGCCGGATGTCGCCCCTCTCCGCCTGCGGGTGAACTCGCGGCTGGTGTCCCGCCGATGGACTGACAGACAGACTGACGGACTGGTTGGCGCCACCCCACCCCACCGCAGGTGGTTCAGCAGATGCTGTCCTTCCTGTCCGGCGCTAGCCTGTCGGTCGTACGCGAGGCGCTGCAGCCGTACTGCCGCCGTAACGACCTGCCGCTGCCCCATTCGGTGGCTGAGGGAGTGCGCATCGCCGTGGGCATGGTGAACTGCAAGGGTGGGTGCGTGTGGGTGGGTGGGTGCGTGTGGGTGGGTGGATGGGGTGCAGTTTGTGGCGGGAGAGGCTCTGGTGCGGTTTCAACTCGTACGACGGCAGCACTTATGTCGCGGACGAGGTGAATGGTTCTCGTACGGGCTGTGCTGCAGCACAGCCATTCCCGCCCGTGTCGTACCCCGCATTTCCCACAGTCGTTTTCCCCCGATACTTGTCCGCTTGCCTAACTCCGTGCCCGCCCTTTACACATACATACATACGTACATACATACCGGCACGCAGGCCAGACGCCCCTCATGTGCGCGTGTGCGGCTGGCAGTCCCGAGCTGGTCAAACTGCTAATGGCGCAGGTAGGCAGACTGACTGACAGACAGACTGACTGAAAGGCGGGGGTGGGGGCGGGGTGGGGGTGGCGCAGTAGTCCGTGTGGGTATCGGCTGGGCGGGTAATGGTGAGTGGCTGAGGAGGGAGGGGGAGGGGAGGGGAGGATTCAGGAAAAATGCGGGTTTTGAAGATGCGGCGCATGACATGCATGTTACGCCAGGCTGCCAGACAGACAGACGCAGGGAGGGAAGAGGAGAGTTAGTTAGCCAACCAACCAACCGACCGACCGACCATTCAGTTAGGAAAGGGGGATAGAAGGGAAGGGGCGTGAGAAAGGGAAAGTTAAAGAGGGGAAAACCCCTGGAATAGGAAATAGGTCCTTCTAGTTTTGTACTTGTGGCCTCATGCGCACCTTCTTACCAGCGGAATTGAGGAATCTTTATCCTGCCGTACATGCCGTACAGGGAGCGGACCCGTGGGCTGCAGATCTGTGTGGTTGCCGTACTGCGCTTCACTACTGCGCTATGGTGCCTGGCAGTGCCCCCTGCATAGCGGCGCTGCTCGGCAGTCCGTCGGGCCTGACACTGCCGCCTGGGGCTTCGGAGCCCTCCCGGGCGGGAGTCAGGTCTGTGAAGGGGCGTGTATAGCGATATGGACACCAAGTAGACAGACATCTGTCGCATAGATATATTTCTAAATAATATATTTAATATAAATTATTTAGGATTTCCACACGCGCGTTACGATCGCAGGCAGGTATACAAACCACACAGGCATACGTGTATTTAGGTATGTATGTAGGTGACTGTACGTGTGCGCAGATATTTCTTGGGTCGTTGGCTGCATGAATGCATGATGACGTGCTGCAAGAGGAAGCAAGCTCGCATGGCGACCAAGGTGGTGTCAGACGTCTATGTACGACTGTGTACGACTGTAGAGGCGGCGGCACTGGAGGAACAGCGTGACCCCCCCCGCAGACAGCAGTGTGTATGTAACGGCAACATGGCAACCTTACAATCCTTGAGTTGCCTAATCAGGCAGCACCACCCCTCGCTGGGCTGTGGTGGTGGTGCTGCTGTTGCTGCTGTTGCTGCTACTGCCTTTGTGACTAGCTGCAGCTTGAGGACGCGACCGGTGTGATCAGCTTCGCTCCGAATCAGAATCACTGCATACTGCATACACATCATTTTGTGGGGATTTTTCGTAACCCCCTCGACACCTTTCCCCCCTCGCGAACGAAGTGCTTATTTCTGCAAGCGCCACACACACACACACACACACGTCCTCGTAAAAAACCCATCCAACAAGCCATCCCATCCTGTCGTATCTGTCGTACAGTACGACATACATTACGATATGCAAATACGCACTAACGCTCATTACTCCCAGCATTTCGCGGGAGGCCCTTCAGGCGGCTTTGGCTACAGCTACACCACCCTGCACAGTCGCTCATCTGCCCAAGCGCGTGATCATCAACCACCTGTCAACTGACTAACTAACTGTATGATGCATTATCAATTCAATCCAAAAGATATATAATTTACATATATGCACAACCTAAGTACATGGCCACGTGCACAACTACGAGTTGATACCATATGGCATGTGCGGCAGATGTACGAACGTATGTATGTGCATATGGTACAGTACAATACAAATCGCACCACGTTGCCCGCATAACTACATAACTACACAACGACTTACATAACGACTTACATAACGACTTACATAACGACTTACATGCGGCGCCGCGCCCCCCATGAAGGTACGTCAACGTCCGCACCAGCAGCGGCCTCTCCGCGCTCCACTATGCCGCCTTCTTCGACCACCCTGCCGCGGTGGAGGAGCTGCTGCGCCACGACCCCCACATCAACGCCGCCACGAGCAGCCACAGCTATGACGTGGACACCTCCTGCGACGCCCTCTCCACCCCCCTCCACTTCGCGGCTGTGAGGGGGAGTGTGGAGGTGGTACGGCAGCTGCTACGACACCATGTAGGGGGGCCGGGGGAGGGGGAGGTATGGTGTCTAAACACCTGTCCTAATCTAACGGGTGTAGCGCTGTAGCCGCACCTGCCGTACCGCATAGATCGCGCTCCCAATCTATCTATTTAATTATATATTTATTTATCTATCTATCTACTTGCCGCCTCCTCATTCCCCTCATGCCGCTCGGTGCACGGACTGACACATACATACATACATACATACATACATACATACATACATACATACATACATACATACATAAACACGCACATTTCTGTCGTCAGGTGCTGCACCCCACCACCCCCGGAGGCACGCGAGCAAGGGACCCCCGGCTGAGAGCCAATCACGGACACAGAACTCCCTGGCAGGTGAGTGAGTGTTGGGGCGTCTGTCTGGGTGTGTGTGCATGCTAACTACCTGCCGTACATACACATACATGCATACATATATACATGCACCTCCAGGCAGGTGGCTGGCAGAAGTTGAGGCCTGACTTCTGCTCCCGGAGGTTTCGGGTTTAAATACGCTTGCCGACCCCTCGGTGTGTGAGGGGTGTTGGAATGGGAGGTGGCCCCCCATCTTGTGGACGGTGTAGGACGTGTTTATAGCAATTTGCGACCTGACCAGGAACTAAGTTGTGGCGCCTTGATCCGCTAGATTTGGTTGGATGCTGGTGGTGAGTTGCTGAAACCAACGAATACATTCTGAAGTCGGATGGGGTGAATGGATTAGGGTGCCCCTCTCGCAGGGGAGAGCAAGGAACTGCCCCAGGAAAGGGGACCGCTGGTGAAGCTATACCACCCTGTAACAACATACTAGTCCCTATAGGCTGGCTGGCTCTTGCGCAAGCTGCTGCAGTAGCATGCACTAGCCCCCGCCTGGCTCTTTCTGTTCCTCGCAGCCTGCCATCCTGCATGCTGCTACTGCCGCTACTGCATGCTGCCGCTGCCTGTTCTTTTCCCCCTGCACAACCATCCCTGTCCCCACTCCCACTCCCTCTCCTCCCCATTCCTGCTGTCGTAACCACCCCAACCACCTGCATCAACCCCCTGCCTCGAATACACTTCCCGCCGCTGGTTATTGCCTGCCACCCTACTTACCCTACTTGCCCTCGTTCCAAAATCACTCATTTCCTCTCCGGCCCCGTTCTCGACCCCGGCGGCGCAGGTCGCAGTGGACCACCACCCCGAACAGCGGGAGCTGCTACAGCTGCTCCACCCCGGGACACCACTGGAGGAAGTCGTAGAGCTCCTCGCGGCTTCAGGGACGGGGGCGGCCGCTGGTGGGGCTCCCTCTTCATCCGCCTCTGCTTCGCAGCAACAGCTGTTGCCGCTATCGCTTCTGCCACCCTTCGGGGGCGGCATGGGCGCTCGCACGGGACCTGCCAGTTTGGCGTCCATTGCGGCTGCGGCGCTGCAGACCCGGCTTCTGGGCGAGCTACAGCGGCTGCTGCTGCCACCGTCGCCGCCGCTGCAGCTGCTACTGCAGCAGAAGCAGCAGCAGCAGGAGGGGTGTACTGTGCAGCGTGGAGGGGAGGCGGCAGCTGGGGAGGGGGCCCCAGCCCAGGATCACACCGGGACGACGCTGGCCGCCGCCGCCGCCGCCTCTGCCTCCGCCACCGCCGCCGCTGCCGCCGCCTCTGCCGCTGCCACCGCCGCCGCTGCCGCCTCCACTGCCTCCGCCACCGCCGCCCCCGCCACTGCCGCCGCCTCCGCCATCGCCGCTGCCGCAGCAGCGGGTGGTGGTGGCCGTGACGTGAGGAAGGCGGACAGGGCGGGGCTAGCGACGGGGCAAGAGCATCATCATCAACAGCGGGTTAGCTGTACGGCTTCGGCGCTTACGAAAGGCGCAACCAGCAATAGCAGTCGCAGTAGCAGTAGTGCTGGCAGCAGTAGTGCTACTGCAGCTGCTGATTCTGAAAATAATGTTGCCAGCACGAATACTACCACCACCGGCGGCGGTACTACCAGCTCTGTCCAGGAGCCCGAGACGGTGAGTCAGCAGGCGACCACAGCACCGGGCCTCAAGACCGTCATCACTTCAACAACACGTGCCTCGAATCCCACCACCATCACCACCGTCACCACCACCGTCACCAGCAGCAGCAGCTCCCCGCATGTGCTACAGCTAGGTTCCAAAGCGGTCACCGGCAGTAGCAGCGGCAGTAGCAGGAGCGAGGCCCGGGCTACGGGCCCCGTTGGGGATGTGGAAGTTAGAGGGAGGAGAAGGGGGAAGGGGGCACTTGTGGCGGAGGCTGTAGAGGAGGAGGAGGAGGAGGCTGAGGAGGTGTTTTGTGGCGTGTGTTTTGTTGAGCGGGAGGCCGTGGCCCCGGCGGGATGCGGTCACGGGGTGTGCGGGCGGTGTGCGGAGCGGATGTGCCGTATGGCGCTGGGGCCGGGCAGCAGCAAGCCACCGCGACCGCTGCTTTGTCCATTCTGCCGCCGGGAGGTGACGGGGTTTGTGGGGTTGGCGGCGAGGGAGGTACGGCAGAGCGGTTGGGGCCGGTAAGGGCCGCTGCGTTGCGTGACTGGATCCGTTTTGTGATGGCGGAGATGGCGCCATCATCATCATCATCATCATCATCATCATCATTTTCGACTTTGAACGGATACTACTGTAGAGTGGTGGACGTTCGGCAGCAGTAGCAGAAGCAGGAGGTGCGGCCGCAATTCGAATCGTCGACAGTAGTGATTATGTGCATGTGACTCACACGTACCAGGCTTACGCTTACAGGCATCCATGCAAACATGTTAGAAATATTGCGAGAAAAGTTACAAGGTATTGCGGGGCGGATATCCCTATCGGCTCCCTGTCTGCGACAGAGATATACAGATGCATGGAGATATATGTCATTGTTTGTCCTAAGTACGGATTAAAGTACGGATTGTAGTGCATTACCGGATTAAAGTACGGATTAAAGTACGGACTGTAGTGCATTACCGGTATAATTTTACTGTTATATACCGTTGCATGATTAAGAAGTTGTTGTTACGAGCCAGGAGTACGTGTCACGGAGCACCTCCCGCTGGGTGCGATCTCTTGGTACGACTCTCCCTCGGGCAGCAGGAGCCGCACCTACCTGGGGGCCTAGGGGGCCGCTATCTATCCTATACACGGTTCGTGTGTGATGAGAGGCATGCACGGTTGCAAGTAGCAACAACACGAATCTGTTGTTGTTGTTGTTGTTACTGGACTTAGGGTTTTCAATGTTATTGTATCCGCCTCTGGGGCGACTGCCGCCGGACGCACACAGCCGCCGCTATGGCCGGTCGTGGAGGTGAGAAAAGCCCCTTGTTGGAGTCAGCTGCAGCTGCAGCTGCAGCTGTAGCCAATGGCTCGTCCAGGGGGGCCCTCCACCCGGTAGTAGCCAATATGCATTATGCGATTAGGATGGTGACGTACCTACAATAGTCTCTCTCCACTGCGCCTGCACCGCGTTGACCACGATTTCAAACCGTGCTCCGATCGTGTAGTACTAGAATATGAATTTCCAAACTTTTCGCCACATCGTTTCCGTACTGTTGAGCAAAGATGATGATTTTCAGTGGGTCTGGGAGTTTCGAGGATTGGTGTTGTAGGTATCCTTGGATGAAAATACGGTCTAATTAATAAGCAGCAGCAATGAAATAATCCCTAGTGCGACTCGGAAGAATTTCCTAGTCGTTGTCATACTTGTGTGTTTCTTAACGGAGGACTTCAGTATTGTTGTGTGTAATAACAGCCGTCACAACGCTACCACAACCCCGGCTTTTACGGACACCCTCGTCGTCCCCTCCCCGTGTGTGTGTTGAACCTGTAACTTGCAATACCTTTTGGTGGCTGTGAGCTGCAGTTGTAGCCGTCCTTTGTAGATGGTGGTGGCGCGTTACGAGGCGGTCAATTGCTGAAATGAGGACCATAGATAAATAGATAAATAGATAGATAGATATGTAGATAGATAGATAGATAGATAGGTAGGTAGATAGATAGGGGCATGATGAGGTCAATCAGGAACCATGGACAACGAACAAAACAGTTTCGGTTAGTTACATATAGATCCGTAATAACCAATGAATCCCAATGTAAACTCGAGGAGGTGCAAAACCCTTACAAGTGCAAAGTATAGCTGAGCTGCAATCAAAGCCTGCACGACACGATAACTAGACATGCTGGTGGCTGCTGCACATGCAGCAGCAGCAGCTGCTATACTCTGCTATACTGCTAAACTGCAGTAGAATGCCTAACTATCAAGTACCAGTAACATCTCCCCCATGCGACGCAAAGGACTGGGCTATGTATGTATGTATGTACCCCTCTCCATTGTACCGGCTGGCAGCGGCCAGACATACAGTTATACATGCTTAGAAAACTCGGCCGCGTTTACATTCCGCCGTACATTCCCTTCCAGTAGTACATACATATATATATCCGTACCTCGCGCGCCCGAAGCTAGCTTAGAACCAATTTCACACACAGCACGCGCTACTGCGGGAGTGCGTGGTGAGGTGAGGCGAGGTGAGGTGAGAAAACGCCAAGTAGCTGGCCAGTTGGGTGCGACATCAAAAGTCTTACACGCGCCCGGGTATGGGTACATGGACGTTCCCCCCGTGCGTATAAACCTGATCTACACATGCGAGAGAATCGCAAGTACGGCCGTATTCTAGTACGGCCGCATCGCGTCGCGGATGCGGCGAACACATCCTGCATGTGTAAGTAGGAGGTCAATTTTCCTCTAGCATAGCGCATACGACTGGCCATCCTGCGAAAGGGCGTAATGGCGTCCTCCTACACCTTAATCAATAAAGCGACGCCGGAGGCAAATAATCCTCTGCAGCTGTAGTCACTTGTGGTCAACCGCGTAATGCGCACACCAAGAAGCGCCTGATATACTAAACCTCCAATTATCAGCCAGAAATGAGGTAAACTAGCTATTACTGTTGATGCACAGCAGGGACCATGGACGAATACAGGTGTCGGGGACAAATCAATGACCACTATGATGCAATCAATCATAAACCATCAGCTAATATGTAATATACGAATACGGCTGCCATCTTATGATGATCAATTTTTTCGCAGCGAATCAACCGCGTTTTGGCCATTCATTCATGAGCTGTTGCCAAAAGTTCGATCGGTAATTATAACCATCAGCACGCAATCATCATCACGCAATTAGACATGCACAGACAGAAAATCACAAACAGATACAAACAAAAAAACTACTTTATTAACGCTAATATCTCCAGAGCGGAGTTGCAGACTCGCAGCAGCGCAGGGCTTTAGGTCTAATAAGCTTTCTCCCCTCCGTCCACGCCATGTCAGCATCCCAGCCGTTTGTGCACCCATCCATGCACCAATTATCATGTGCTGCCTGTGCTGCCAAAGGAACAGCCGTTTCTCGGCAAGGCACGCACCATCTATCTGAGTACGCCTGCACGCCGCACATTTGGCGATTCAGCGCAGCTACGCACATAATCCAGCGCTGAGTGTTGCACTAGATATTCGTCCAGCGATTTTACCCTCCAGCTCTGGCCAGGCGCAAGCACGCGAGTCGCGCTACTCATCCCGCGTCTGCTCCTCCTGCTCCTCCTCCCCCTCCGACGCAACATGACAGCCATACATACGGGAATACGCATGACCAGACGCGCGACTTAAAAGCATCTTGGCGTATAGGACAGCACTTTTAGTGAAACATGCACCTCTACCAACCCCCCACCAACCCACCATCACCAGCATCCCACTCGCGTCGCTGGGGCACCTCCCTCCCTCCCTCCCTCCGTCCACCTCTGCTTTTCTCGAAGGGGGAAAACCCCCCCATTTGGAACGGTCTAGAAGTCTTCCACGCATTCCACCGAAGGGAGCAAGAGCTACCATTCGGAAACCCCCGGGGGGGGTCGATTGGGATTCGGAAGCGCCTTGCTTGAGACACAGAGAGAGAGAGTGTGTGTGTGTGTGTAGGTAGGTAGGTAGGTAGGGGGCGGGGCATGTAGGTATCCGCGCAAGGGCTCAAGCGAAGCCGCTGCCGTAGATAGGGCAGCAGTCCTTGTTGCTGTTGAAGGTGCTCAAAAAGCTGTGAGAATGTAGGTGGGTGGGTGGGTGGGGGAAGAGGGGGCAAGGTGGGGAGGGTAAGGTGAGGGGAAACGTACCGCATGATGCGCACACAGCGGCAGCCTCAGCTCTTTCGGCCTCAGAGTACGTGTATCACACAATGTGTACCACATACATACACACATATGTACGTATACATACATATATACACATCTGGACGTACGGATGCAGCCATGTACGGACGTACGGAAACTTGGGCAACTCACCACTGTGAGGCGATGCCCAGACACAAGTCCGACATGGTCTTGGGGTTCTTCACCTCCACACACACGCGGGCGCCGCTGGCTTGTGCGATGGACCAATTGATGGGGGTGGCTGTAGGGGTGGAGGGGTGGGGGGGTGGAGGGGTGGAGGGGTGGAGGGGTGGAGGGGTGGGTATGCTGTGTAGTTGTGACGCATGGCATGCATGAGGTGGGAGTGAGGAGATGGATAGGAACTGGCATCCGCGAGCCATTGAATGCATTAGGAAAACATTTCACTCGAGTGAAGCCACATCATTGCAACCATAAAACAACATTTGTGCATATCACTGGAAAGGTAAAGAGTTTTAGGGGTTTCGAGTTTTAATGAGTTTAGGTTTCTCCATTTTTGTGTTCCCCCCGCTTACCTTTCAGCGAATTGGTACCCGCCGCCCCCCAGCTGGATGAGCGCTTGACGAAGGGCCCACTCGCCGGGTAGAGGTTGATGCCAGCCACCCAGGAGCTCATGTTCTGGTCTGTGGGTAGTTAGGCAGTTAGGCAGTTAGGTACGAGGGTTAGCAGGTAAGGAGTGAATAGTTAGATACGTGGATAGTCAGACAGACGGGTGGATGGATGGAACTGGATGAATGTTGCATATAGAGATGTAGTGGTGGTAGAGAAGTAGTAATTGGGTAAACATCGCTCCGGGTGGGGGAACTTAGGGTTTTAGGGTTTTGGGGGGTGGGCGAGCACCATGCCGGTGAATACGTAAGCACACACACATACATACATACACACACACGTACACATACACACACCCCGGTAACATGGGCAAGTGTCCCTTGTGAACCTCGTGTCCATCTGGAGACCGCGAGAGCAGCAGCACCCTCCCTCCCTCTCTCTCTACACACACACACACGCATCCCCCGCATCCCCCCCACTTACTCGCATACCACTCGATCTTGGTCAGGGTGTCATTGGCTGAGCCGCAAGTGTTCTGCGGACATACAGACATAGCTTAGGGTTTTAGAATTGTAAACGTGGCTTTATGCTTATGCCTCAAAGTGAATTTAATACTTTACAAAAATTATGCAAGAAGGGGGTCAGAGTCAAAGCCTTTGATGGGATGGAAGCTATTGAATGTGGCGATATGGAAGTCCGCCCCACTCCATTCTCTTCGTCTCTCTCTCCCCCTCGCCCTGTGCCCCCCAGCCCTCCTCTCTCCCCCTCCTCGCCCCCTCCTCTCTCCCCCAGCTGCCTCCGATGTGCTACTGCCGCTGTACGGCTCCCCCACCTCACCAGCCGACCTCCCGGCCCCCTGTGGGTGTTTTGAACGCGCGCGCCCGGGCCCATATCCACACACACATACAGACAGACGTGCGCACGCATCCTCACCGGCATAATCTGGCTGGGGGGAATGGTGTTGACCGTGAAGCAGTACTCGGTGGTCGTGGCGGTGCGATTACCCGTAGTAAAGCGAGGGGAGACGGTGAAAGGCAGGATGCCCTGTGTCGTGTTGCATCTGCGGGTGGGTGGGGAGCCCAGTTTGCGTTGGTTCCGGAGCTTCCGAATGACAATGATAATGCAAATCCCCCGGGCTCCCGGCTTTCGAGCCCACAGTGTA